ATATTAGGCCCTTTATTTTATGTGCCACCAAAATAGTTATTTCAAGGAAATTATGAGGGTGTTAATACCCCAGGGCAAAGTTTGTGTCCCGAGGACCTTAGGCCTTTTTCAACTCTTGAATTGTTTTTGTTATTAAATTTAATGTCTTCGTTTTCGAGTTTTTTTTTTTGACTTCAATGACTTCCAAGATGTTCGAACTGCCGTCCATCATTTTCAATGCATAAGTCCAATCTTTCTCTTGTCGACAAGACAGCTGTTGCTATTTCAGCTCTTGATATGCTTCGAGTAGCGTTTCTGATCCGTTGAATCATATCCGCTCTTGCTATGGGTCTTGTAGTAAAAACGAGATTCTTAATTCTGCCCGATAAATAAAAATCTAGGCAGGTTAAGTCCGGCAACCTGCAACAGAAACATAGGTAGGAAAATTTGTAATACTAAGAACAATATTGTTAACTTTACTTTGGGGGCCACGCAAATAAGCTACCTCTTCCGATCCACCTATCAGGAAACTCCCGATCCAGAAGCCTACGCGCGTTTGCTGCGAAATGGGCTGGACACCCATCATGTTGAAAGAACATGGTCCTTCTGGTTTCCAACGGTACATCTTCCAGGAGGAGTGGTAAAATATTCCGCAAAAAATTTAAATAATCGTTTCCTTTAAGCGGTTCATTCCAAATATAAGGACCTATAATCATATCGCTCAAAATTCCGCACCAAACATTGACGCTCTACCTTTCCTGGTGCTGCACTTCTTGCATCCATCGTGGATTACTGCCCAATAATGCATATTATGGGTATTAACCCCACCGTTACTATTGAAAGTAGCTTCATCCGTCCAGAGATTCGCGATAGGAGATTTCGGTTTTCTTCTATCATATTTTATCAACCAGTGACAGGAATCTAGCCTTTTATCATAGTCTGCGATGGTCAGAGCTTGATGTAACACAACATGATAGGGATATAACCTATAAGGTAAAGATTACTTAGAACTATTTACGCGGACCCAAAATGTCAGAAATATGAATTATAGAAGTTTTTATGCATTGCGGTTATGAATGGTTGGTTTAATATCCACCTACATCAGGTAACTACTAGTTAATAATAATTCATAATTCAATGCTCATTGCTCACCTGTGGTCTTTCAAAATTCGAAATACGGTTGCCTGAGCAATATCTAACTCTGCTGAAGTTTGCCAAACGCTTAGCTGAGGATTGATCTCTACATAAGCTAAAACGTTGATATTATATTCTCTCAGTTCTGGCGGTACGAGTCCTCCTGCGGCGTAAAGGACGAACACTTCCTGTAGTACGGAAACGATTCGCTAGACAAGTGAACGTTTTGCTTCCGAGCTTCCATACCAGTGTCTTTTAGGATATCTAAGAGCATATATCCTTGCTGCAACCGTCGCATTTTGAACACACTCATAAACGGCGATAATATCAACCGCTTCTTGAAGTGACAAAGGCATTTCCAAAAATATAATAATCTAATAACTAACTGAACAGCAACTAACGCACTATAAATAATTTACTACTAAAACTTGCTACGAACTTGCCACTGCGCCACAAGCTTACCTATTGACGGTTGAAAAACAAAAAAGGTATATGACTTTTGTTCGTAACAAGTTTGAACCTTCCCCTACCTTTTATTCGCAGAGTTAGGGCAAAAAATCCTTAACAAAATTTTTTCGTAATCTCATCAAGATTTCAATAATCATATTTTTAAAATACCTTTAGTGGGAGTTTTTTGGAGATAATCACAGTATTATGTTTTCGAGTGCTCGTTGCGCCCCCTAGTGGTCAACTTACAAGCTTGAAAACTATTTCCAGCAATTTTTCATGGCCCTTTTTATGAAAAAAAAAATTACTTGGATGTTCTAGGAAGACTAGTTCCTGAGATATAGCCGGTTACCTCCTTAGGTGAGACACCCGGTACAGGTGAAAGCTGCAGTTAAAATTTGAGGTAGGTATCTTCTTGGTTTCTCTGATAGTATTTTTAAAATTTTTAGAACCAAATATGTTGGAGACGGCTCAACCAAATATAGACAAACTATATATTTTTGGAATCGGGAAATTGTGCTCTTCAAGAATATGATACCAAATATAGAGCATCCCATTTGAAAAAAGCTGAAAGCAGGCAAGATTGCAGATTTCTGAAATTCATTGTTTCTGACCATGGATTCTAAAAATTTAGGCAATACTCTAGAACCTTTGTATTTACACTTTTCTTCTTCTTCTTGTAAAGGTAAAGGCTGTAGGTGGGGTGTCAATATATACCTACCTAAGTTTCTTTATTTTTAAATCAATGGATCAGCTTATATGCATGTTTCTCAGCATGTTTATTTGCTCTGTGAAATGTTGTGATGCAATATTTGAATTTGTGCTGTTTATTTTTGTTCAGTTTATGAGATTTTCAGATTTGGATTCTTTTGCAAAGTTGAAAACACTGGATCATGATCTGAGACAGAAGCTCTTTATTGTATGTACGTGCCCTTGCAGCAGGCGCAAATGCACATTAGTTAATAATGCAAATGTGGTCTGTGCAAATGCCTGATTCTCACAGGTAATGCCATTTATTTTTAGAATAATACCATGACCATCAAAGCACCAATATTCATGCACAACATTTGCACCCGGAAGAGTTTTAAAATTTGTGTAACCTCCAAAACAATTTATGTAAACCTAGGAGATATCAACTGAGGCTATCACTTTTTAGAAGAGTAGGTGTAGGTCACCAGATCTCATTACATTTCTATCGGATGAGTTGCGAATGAATGCACATGCACAAGTCAACAATTTACAACTAACAATATAGAATAATTCGAGGAATAATTTTTAGGACATTTTTAAACGTCCCAATGACAATGTATTACTTGAGGGAAAAAAACAACATCAATTTAAAATACTAAACTGAGTTATCTAATAAAGCTGAAGGTAGTTGAAAGATAAAGTAAAATGTCCAAAAAGCAAAGGAAGTCCTTATTAAGTTCTTCATATTATACTTATGTATGTAGTAGAGGTGTTCTGGAGGAACTCATCTTCATTATAAAAAGCATTTAGATTTCAATTCCAAATAAGCTTAATTGCCCCAAAACTTGAAAATTTCATTGACAAAGCAATGAGGATGTCTTATAGTTAATTCTTAAAACTAATGTAATATCCGAGGTAATATCCAATTGATTCCAAATGAACAAACATAGGACTATAGACACTATAGCTAAATTCATTCTTCATAAAATTCAGTAAGACCATAATATGCCTTGGCCAATCGCAGATAAAACATCATATATATTCATGTCAATTTCACTTTTGTCAAAACGCAAATATCTTTTATAATATAATGACTTCCAAACTTGCATTGTGCTTAACGATGGTAAGTATGTCGTAATATTCCTTTTCGCGAACTTTTAGTAATTTATAGAGATCCACAACTGTAATATCACCTTCTATAAGCACTTGATGCTGTTGGTGGATTTCTGTAGGTGTTTTGAGGCACCAACAATTCAGATTGTTGTCAGTGTGTTGAAATATGTCAAAGTTTAACATTTTCATTTCTTTGAACTCTGCCATCTGCCATGCATAAGTCCCTTTCCACTTCAAGAACCTCGACCGATGTCCTAAGTTCACTATTGGCTTCCTTCATTTCATTAAGCATATCCTGTTCTGTTTCCAAAAAAAACATGTTGGTTTTCGAAATCTGAAAGCTTTTTTTGAAAGATGGCATTAGCATTTTTTAGGTGTTTTATTCCACCGTTCCAACAATGGTTGAAGCTACAATATCAGTTTGTGTTATCAAGTTTTTGGAGTTTTTGTTAAAAATGTCTGTGTAATATCATCAATCAAGCATCCTGCGGTTTCACTGGTTTTGGTTTGGGTTTCTGGTTTGGTTTTTAAATCCGTTTTCTTCATTTCAGTTCTCGAATCATAATCTCACACTCTTTATTTTTCGCTTCGAGTTGTGCAATTTGTTTTCTTCTAGTTGTATTCTCTTTCTTTAGACCCACTCTTCTTGTTTTCTGCATTATGCCTAAATGATGTCGTGCACACATCACAGAAATAGCATACCTTTCGAGATATTAATTCCAGAAACCTAACTTCTGAAGCACCCCAACCTCCACAATTCCTGCAGGTGATTATGTGACAGTTGTCACATGCGCATCCAAAAACATCATCACTATTTTTTGCGGGTTCGCTACAGACGCAATCTGTGCCACATTTTAAACATTTTTGGGGCATGTTGATTGATTTTTTCCAACAATTCTCTATTAGTTTAAAATTAATAATTTGTTGTTGTAGTGCTGGCTCTTCGAATTTATTATTCTTATCGATTTTATGCATATGCATAAAGATAAGGAATAAAGGTTTTAAATATTTTAGATACCAATAAATATCTTTTTTTTTTTAATTGTTACTAGGAACATGGCAAACTGCTATTTTATATTGTTATTATTGTAATAGAAATATTGATATTTTTTCCCAGAATTAATCCGTTTTTTTTTGTGTATCTCTCCAATTCATTATTTTTGCGTAAACGTGGTTCCTTTGAGCTGTAACAGCTGAAGTATCCATAGAAGAGTTGGCCCCATTATTTTAATGTTGAGATCATGTCATATTTTAGTATCACCCCTATATTCATCATCAAATAGCCTTTTCACATCCACTGTTGGATATAGGCCTTCTCTTAACGTTTCCAAATTTTCTGTCTTGGGCAGTTGTGATCCAGTTTGTTGAAATTCTCTTCAAGTCGTCTGTCTAGCGGGAGGAAGGTCTTCCGTGGTTCCGCTTGTCGGTTCTTGGTCTCCACTTGATAATTTTCTTTGTCCATGTGTGTCTTAGTCTTGTGGTATGTCCTGGCCATCTCCATTTTTTCCCTGTTAACCATTATTTAAGGTCACTCCAGTTCCGCTGCGAATCATTTCTCACCTGATTCCTCAAAGTCATTCCAAGCATAGACCTATTACACCATAATTAATCCTGATTAAACAATTTTATCATTACAGGATGGCGGCTACAACAAAGTAATTGAAGCTCAACACAAATTGTCAGATGGGGATTGGACTGCACCAGAAACCTCCAGTATTGCATCTAATGGACTATGCAATACTTGTAATAGAAATCATGAATTGAAAGTAATTCAACTTTCCCAATTCGAGCCAATGAATTATAAAAACTATGATAAAGAAATTCAACATTTTGAGGAACAGCTTGAAAAGACTTATGAGCTTTGCGAGACATGCTTGAAAACGGTTAAAAAGACTATTAGAGAGCAGAATGCATGGATATTTGGATATAAACTACCGAACTCAAAAAAACGTAAATTGATAATGAATCAGGACAGCAAAACATTTAGTTTAGGTATTAATATGTTTTTATTTGTATTGTCATTTTTAAATGTATTTATTTTGTGTGATTTGGATGTTTTTCTACCAAATGAGAGTACATTGCCAGGTTATGTGATGTCCGATTTATATTTGAGTTCATTAGGATTTATAACAGAATACTCAAAATTAATTGCACAAAATAATTTTTCAACAAAATTCAATCAACTACTTGCTTGGTTTATCGTAACTCTTATATCTTTAATTGACCCTAAAAATAGTGTTATTCCATATTTAGAGTATTTAGAAATTATTTTTTCTTTATATTTGACCTATATCTATGCCGCTACTTGTATAAAATGTTGTAAGGCCCGAAAAATAAGTTATGCAAAATCATTCAATAGTACTAATAATACATCATTTGATTCATCAAATAGTACTAATGGTACTAATATTACCTCTTTCGCGTCCGCTCAGAATAGTTTCAACCAGTCAAAGGAGGACATCCCGATGAGGACGAATCCTGTATTTTCTCCAGGTTTTAATAAGTCGGTAAAAGATAATCCATTTTCAAATCAATTACAGCAACAAAGCCCCAGCCAAAACATGAGTTTTGCCTCTGCAATACCAAGAAATAATTTAAACTTAACTAATAGGAATCTTGGCCCTGAACCAGCAAGTAGCAAAAGTGTATTGAACACATTTTTTGATGAATTAAAAATTTCAAGTCCTTCAAAGAAAAGGAAAACAACCCAAAATTATTTTAAAAACCCTCAGTTGCCACCAGTTTTTCACCAAAATTCTAATTTGCGTCCACGGCTATCGCAAAGGCATAAATTATCATCAGATCTAGATACTCGAGCGTGTCCAGTTTCCGATCAAAATACTGAAGCAATTTCTATTAGAGATGAAGCATTTTTTTCAATAAATCTGTTCAATCAAGAAATGGGCTCGTGTTCTGTTAGAAATCGCGATAGTTTCAACAGGCTTTCTGATCAATACAACGATCCAAATTACACTGCTACATCTTCTCTAAAACTGGTGAGATTGCCACAGGGCTCTCTAAATCGTCCTAGATCTCAAAGCAACTTCAACATTTCTATCTAGTTGTTATTTCGAGTAGCTTAGGACTCTTCTTAAAATGACGTCTAAATCACTGTTAAGCAGCTCAAGGAAACACTCTCGCAAGTGATTACTAGTTCCTTGTTTCCCAAACCGTTATCTACTTTTAGGAATGTTATATTTTTATTTCGGTAGCATAGAAAATCAACGACCTACCTCTGATTTTACATAGGTAAAAGTATATTTTACAAGATTTACAATTACAGTAATGTCTGCTTATAACGAACCTCAAGGAACTAATTTGTTCGTTTTAACTTTTATGTTGAATATTATGCATTAAATTATTGCATAAATCAAGTATGGACAAGAATAAATAAATAGGGATAATTAATGTGTCTCATGTTCTCTCAATCGTAGGCCTCCGTTACGCGTCAGCCTTCAAACTTTGAGCTCAGCACAAAAAGACACTTCTTGGCTTAATGTCTTAAATAACTATTTTGTAGAATACATTAATTAACAAGTTTTCAAGAACTTCATTTGAAAAAATCGTTAATTTTGGTTTGTTTTATTTCATGACATTACAAGGCGTTGAAGTTTGATATTGATTATTCTTGTTGATTGGTTCGATATAGACAAAAGCTTACTAAAAACGGGTTCCTTATAAGAGAACATTACTGTTTATCTTAAGGTTGGAAATGACAATAGTGAAAACTTGACATAGGAGTAACTTACACCAAAGCAAATTTTAACATTAGGTTTGGTTTTGTGTTAGGGCATTAACAAGAATAGGCCTCTTGCATACATTGTTATTTTTGCCTGAAAAATTCTTAAATAAATAGCCTTCCACAGTATTTTTTTCCAAGAGACCTTCTAATGTGTCTGGGAAAATAACTCCTCTAAATTTGACTTAACACGAAAACGCTTCGCCATTTTTTGTGTCGTCACGAGGTATGAACGTTCTACTGCTGATATTTAAAATATATTTTTCTTCATCATTTATTGTTTACCTTAAAACAGTAAGAGAACTGGTGCTGAGGCCTATTCATATTGCTTTCTGTCCAAACAAAAGTGAGATTAGGCTAATATATATATATTTTTTTTTACTTCATAAGTAACTCGTCTAGGAAAATTGTCGAAAAATACATGCATTTCAAGAAAAAAATTCCTACCCAAATAAATTTTTTAGGGATGATAGAGGGCGGGTGGGTGATCATAAAACCGAAGAAGATTTCATAAAGCAAAAACGTGATATGTGTTGTAGAAATTTTTTTCACGTTGGCTAAAATTTTTTATTTTCATTATAAATTTCAAATAGCCCTTATGACCACAGACGGCCCTTAATCAAAAAAGTCTTTATATAAACATTGTAGATCAAATAATGTTGCACATCTTTTATCTGAAACATTTTTTTGTAAAATCAATAGGTACCAAGTAATCGCCAATGGCGCACTTTCAACCCCTATAGCGCAAAACGCCAGAAAGGTGAATGTTTGATATCCTCGGTTTTATGATCACCCACCCGCCCCCTATCATCCCTGAAAAATTCATTTGGGTAGGATTTTTTTTTTTTTGAAAATCGACAATTTTCCTAGACTAAATATCTGCAAGGCGCTTATTATCCAAGTTTTATTTTTGTATACCTATAATACATTATAAATATTACCAAATGCCATCAATTTGAAATGAGTCATTCTACTCTGTAATTCCCCTCGTCCAAGTGGTTTTTTTTACATAGTTTTTATAGTAGGTAAGACATTTTGTGAGAAGTTTTTTAAGCTGGAAGGCCTGGATTTGGTTAAATATTACCATTTTTTTATGCCTATGAGAATACATAGGTATATTAAGTTTTGTTTTTGGATTCTCTTTGATTACGACATAGAAACTTTAAATATTAGGTTTAGTATTGAGACATTAACAAGAATTATTTAGGTTAATTTTTTGTATACATATGAGAATACATAGTGAGTTCTGTTAAATTCTGTTCGATTAGACATATACATAAACATTTAATATTACACAAAGTTATAAATATTAGGTTCATTACCCGGATAATAAGATATAGGGCGCTTTCTTTTATTCAGCAATGGATCCATCTGCTGCCAGCATTATGAGACAGATATTCCTATTTTCTATGAGCTAGACAAAGAAAGGCAAATTACCGATGGATCCACCACTGAATAAAAGAAATATATTTTTTTTTTAAATATTTTTAAATGTATAAACTCAACATATTTTGAATATTTATCAATATTTTCAATATTGTATTGCTCAAATATCAATAAAAAATATTAAATGAATATTTTAAATAATTAATATTAGTCACCTATCAATAAAGAATCCTGATCAAATATTTTATATTTTTGTTACTTGAGTAATAATAAAAAATATTAAACAAATATTTTTAAATAAAGTTTGGTCCATTATTGATGAAAATCTCCCAAGTCAGTTACCTCTTCTGTTTCCCTGACAACAAAATACCTATTCAAATTAGGTACTATAATAATTTTAAATTTATGTAACGATTTTTCAGATGTGTTTGATTCTAAAACTGACGAATTAATGGAAAGGGAATCAAGGAAGGTTCTCTCGTCTTTTTGAACATCTTGATGAATCTTTGAAATGTGAATTTTTAAACCATTCGGTTTTTAAACATTCTTTTGCAAATTTTACAAAAAGACTCACAATTGGCGTCTTCAACTTTGGGAACAATTTGTAACAAATCAAAATGGCCTGAGTCTCGGTTTCCGGAAAAAAGAAGGTGTAAGCACTTACTGAAATTATCAGATAAGGTAAAAGAAGGACTATTGAAACCAGACTATCTCTCTGATTTTTGGTTTGATATGAATTATATATAAAAACATTCAATTCATAAATTTTTGATAAGGCTACACATTCTAAAGAAGTACCATATTTCCAAATTGTGACTTCTTTCTGCAATATTCATTTTTTAAAATATGCCCAGGTACAAAACTATCAAAATCATTCCAATTTTGATCTATATATTTAACAGCATCATTCCTTAATTGCTGATATTTATTCTGGTGATTGAAAAGATGTTTACTTACTGCTCTGAATAAGCAATTGCCATCTCCAGTGATAGATGTTTTCTTGAACTCCATACAAATTCAAAATTTTCTTTGACGGGTTCGTCCAAATGTTATTACAAATTTTCTTTCCTCGTCAAAAGGGTGCAAAATGGTTGAATTTCCTTCGTACTTATAATAAGTCAACGACCGAGTCGAGTACGGAAGTTAGTTACTTCAATAAGAGCATACTTTAATAACAATGTGCAATAACTTGTTCGTTTATTTTGTTTTTCAATATTATATGGATTAAATTATTGCATAAAGTACGGGCATGAATAAATACGGATAATTAAGTTGATGTGTCTGTCCGTTTACATAAGCGTCCTTGTGCCTAGCAGTGCAATGTGTTCCGAGTGACCTAATATACATTGTAAATTATAGTGGCAGCCTTTCATTTTTTCGAAAATTGATGAAAAAACCAGTGTGGAAGGAAACATTGAAGATAAAATTAATGTTCCATGCCATTCGGCCTAGAAGGTCTTTTTACGCTTAGCACAAGCACAACTTCTTGACCTTATGACATAAATAACTAACTATAAAGGTTTCAACAAACATCCGGTTTTAAAGTTTCTTATATTGCTGCAGGTGTATCACGTCCAGTTAGATTAATTTTGAGGGAAAAAATCTGTGTGGACAATCTTTATTACCAATAAAAGTTTAGATTATTAGGCCAACGTTTCGGTAATGTGGTTTTCTACCTTCCTCACGGCTACGAAAAAAGTAGAACAATTTGCTTTTCATACATACTAGTTGATATAATAAAACCTAACAACCATTGTTCGGCTTGTTTTTTTACGGGTAACTTCATTTTTAACACCATATCTCTAACGCAGCAGTGCCATAAAAAACATTTTAGTCTTAAAAAGGAAGCTAGCGTGGTGTTCAAAATTGCATTTTTAACAGGTTTGTGGGAAAAAAATGTTTAAAGCTAGCCTAGCAAACCGAGGGATGAACCATCTGGTGAACCACTGGAAAAAAATTGTACAATAAACCTTTTTTGTCATAAAACTTTCTAAAACTTCTGAGACTTCCAGAAACTTTTCTCAATAATCAAAACTGATTCTTGATTACCAAAAACTTTTTCAAACTTTTTACCTTATTGAATTTTCAAAAACTATCCGATATCGACCTTTCTAGAACTCTTTGAAACTTTCAAAAAACCTCTAGATTTTTGTTTTTGTTTTAAGATCAACCTCTCAGAAACTTCAACAAACTTTCATAAACTTCTGCGAACTTTAAAAAAAAAAATTGAAACTTTTCAAAATTTCGTGAACTTTTGGTAAGATTTAAAAAAAAAAATCTAATTTTTCCTACATTTGTGTAATAAAGTTTTTAGTGGTTTGCTTCTCGGTGAAAACCAACACAAGAATTTTAAAAAATAATCAAGAATATTAAGATAAAAGTCCCTCCATTTAAGTGATTTATACTTGTGTGGTTTCTGGTTTCTACCTTCTTCGATAAAAAGTAAAAACATTTGTTTCACACTATACATACATACTAAGCAAAGATTTCCTTAAAAATTGGACAGAAATAGTTTTTCAATTGGAAAACGCAAAAAATATGAAGTAAGGACTGAACATTAAAAAATTAAGAACATCCTATCAACAGTCACAACAATAAACGACAAGCATCATGGAGAAAAATTATATTTAATAAACCATAGGTATTCGTACATAGGTACCTCTGATCTGCCAAACGCATAATTATTTATTTTTATTAATTATTGTGTAGCTGTCCCATTTAGAAATAATAAACACAATAATACATCGTGAACTTTTGATTCCGGTATCTTCTTTAACAAGACAAAATAATTTTCCACCGTATGAATTCAGCGAAGTGCCTACCCAAAAAAGCGCATTTTTTGCTATAAACAAAATCAACAACTAACCAACAGAAATGTGGAATGCAGGTACCGTCAGGTGATGCTAATTTTTTTATACTTTTATTTTGAAAGAAGGAAAACTAAAAACAACCAAATATTCTATATTACCAAATCTAGATTCTCATGGCTTGAGGATTAGCTTCAATTAGTTGGATTAAAAATCAGTCAAAAGATCTTGTGGTAAATTAGACATTGTCACAGTCGGATCTTAAAGTGACTAAAGTTCATGTTTGTTGTATAACAGTCATATTTCTGTTGCACCCTTTTTTAAATGTTGTGACGTCTTTCCTATGTATGTTTTTGATCTAGGCAGGGAGTTCCAGAGGTGGGCAGTACGCTTCCAAAAAGAAGTCTTATATTTAAAGGTCCTCGGGAGTCGGGGTAGCGGTAGCCAACTTCACCACGTCATACGGATGAGATGCCTGTGAGGTTCTTGTGGCTCTTAAATAACTTCTCCTAGCTGGAATGACTCTGGCCAGATCGTCAGAACATATCCCATGGTAATAGCGATAGAATAACGAAAAGTCGGCCACCTTGCTTCTTGTATATTCGAGAGATTGCAATGAATCGGTGAGAGTTGGATCATCGATCATTTCTAATGCTCTTTTTTGTACTGCATCTAATAGAGCTTGGGAGCATCGCTCCAGATGTGGGAACACTATTCCATACATGGTCTCCTTTACCCTTATAAGGAGAAGAAGAAAGTGTTCAGAAAATAAAAAAGTTTTTTGCAGTAGAACAGAACAGAACAGAAAACCTAATTTTTGGAAAGCGGTTTTGACGATCGAAGATACATGGTCGCGCCTGCCAAGGCAAGTAATTGGTTGATGCGGTCCCCCAAGAAAAGATACTGATGGGATGGACAGAAAGGTTTCGTCCCGACATCCCTAAAACTGGGGTTATCATCGGCGAAAGATTTCTTACCGAACGCGCCGTTTTGTTTGTTGCGCCTACAATTTTAGTTTTCTCCGTTCAAAGTAGTGTTGTTTTGATGTGTTTGGTGCCATTGTGCTCGTCTCGAGAAGTCCTCCTTATTGGTGTCAATTGTTTCTTCTTTGAACTTGATGTGTTAATCATAAAAGCATAGAATCACTGCCCTATTTATTGTCAATATCAGTACTAATTCCAAAATATGTTTTTTTTTATATTCAATAAAAAAGGGCCAGGTCCGACTATTGTAAAAATTTCAATAATTCTTTTTATAAATATTGACGATTTGTCGCACGTCCCGACGTTAAATCCTCACTTGGAATGAATCGTTGCTTCAAGTGCTGCAAAAATACAGACTTCGAATTTCTACTGTATTGCCTGTAAGTCGATATTCCACCCCAAATGTTTGGACCGGATTGCTAGTGTCACAAACTTGGGAGGCTACAAAATTTTATACTCGGCAAGATGTCAGTCCAACTTTAATGAAGAAGAAAACATAGCAAAGGTCTATGAGGAAAAAATCAATGATTTACTTAAGGAGATAAAAGAAAAGGATAGACACATAGAGAGAATGCGAAGAAATAGCTTGGTGTTCGAGGATCAATTGTCAGAAACCGAAAAATCCTTTTCTTCTTCCCGTGATAATCTAAACAAAAGAAATGAGAAACTTAGTCAGGAAATTTCCAATTTGAAAACGAAAGAAATGGAGCTCCTATTGCTAGTAAAATCTTGCGAAAAAGAGAAACAAGAAACATGATCTTACTCTCAAGCTAAATAAATTAAATTCTTGAAATAAGGACCTTATCATCAACATAAATACAAATGAAAAGGAAAATCTTGCACATGAGCAAGTTCTTAATTCATTACGTAGTGATGTGAAGGAATTAACTGTTATGAATAGAGAAATGATTAGTTCCTTGAAAGTTCTTGAAGCTGAAAAAGAATTTCACCTGGTGGAAATCGGTCTCTTAAAGAACAATCAAACAGATCCCCCATCCTACTAACATTCCAGCAGATGAGAACTCTGCATAGATGCTAGGTTCTGAGCATGTCAAATTTGTTGATAACCGACTAAAACTTCTCCTTGTTAGTGGAAATATGGACATAATTTTCCTGCGCTTGAAATTTGGAGATGACTACAATGTGTAGTGCTTTTTTAGGCCTGGAGCCTGGTAGTACAAGCTTAGAACTGGTCAAGACCGCGTCGTCGCTGGTACATAAATGACTCCAATTGTAAGGATTTGGTGATTTTGTGGTTAAGCAGTGTTTGTCCTTGGTCTTATAGTTTGAATAATTTCACTCTATTATGTAATCACATAAATACCCTGGTTATGACCAGCCCCTACTCAGGGACACTTTATCCGTTAGGACAATTAGGTCATGTCCTACGGGCCACTGGAGAATGAAGGCCAACTGCTGGCCTTTAATTTATAATATAAAATATAAAAGCCCACTATACCAAAAACATCGACTTGTTTAATAGCAGGACTAGCATATATTTCAATTCTCTTTAATTCTTATAATTCACACTGCACAAGCACATTTGGTTTGGCCAGAGTGCACTGCCTGACGTCACGATGCTCTGGAATCGCTCCACTCGCTCCATCGGAACACGCACTAGAGTCACCGAGCTGCGCTGAATCGCCGTCGCGTCATTAGCGCAGCACGGGCACGTGGCAACTGGCAACGACTACAGCAGGAACCTGTTAGTGTTTGCGCTGCTTTGCCAAATTGTAAGTTTCTTTGAGCTTCTTCTGGAGCATCCAGGGACTTGAGCAGTGTCTTAAGGGTTCAGTGTACCACGAACTCGTGCCTTGTTGTTGTTGAGCTTGTAGGAAGGACATCCACAGAGGCAACGTGGTACGAATTTTCCTCAAAGTTGCAACCCTTTATGCATCTTTTCCTCGCTAAAAGACTCGCTTTCCTTGGATGCGGGACGGAGACGGAACGGGTGCCGCAGACGTTGCCGGCATTAAAAATATAAAGATGTGCTTTCCTAAGCAGCGGTGGCGCGACGGCGGCAGTTTTTTTGACGCTAGCGGAATCACGCCACCGGTCGGTCGACAGGCAACTTCGACGGAGCGCAAGACGAACGGAATATTATAAATTTAAAAATATCGAGTTTTACAGAAGAGCAAAGTGAGTTGTTGATTGATTTTAGTGTGGCAGTATCCTGTGTTGTATAATTTATCAATTTATGTATGTCTATTGAAATAAAAAATAGCCTATTTTCACACACGGATTGCCGAACCGCCCACGTTGCGTCGCTTTCGAGGAAAGCACTAGCTTCCAAGCGCGTTACGTCGGCAGGCGCTATGACTCCGTCACGCTTGCGTTCCGTCTCCGTCCCGCATCCGAGGAAAGCGAGCCTTAGGATTTGATCCCAAACCATGCAGCTGTTCTTCCGAAGCACCCATCAGTACACTTAGTCCCCAGCATCCATATGTGGTGATTGGTAGGCTGGCAGCTCAATGCCATCATTTTCTTTTAGGACGTTCCGACCATATAGCATGTTTCGTGACCATTCTTGTTCCATCATTTTGTAGTACCTTTCTTGGATTTGACCGAATACTACTGGGCAACATTTTTTGTCTCCATATTCTGCCAGGTTAGTAGTTTGAAATCGTCTGAGTGATTTTATTAAACCCTATAAAAAATAACAATCACTCATGAAAGGCCATACCAAATAATTGACCTACGGGCCAGAGAAAGGTTAGCGTCACTGCCCCTACTTGGGCATACATTTTGATGTTGTTTAGAACAACAATTTGCCACTTTATAAAGCTTTTCAAATGAATAACATTAATTTCGGTAAAATATTGGAACCTAATAATGTAAGTCATTTCGGTTCTGAGTTGGCAAATTTGTTGTATGCTTACATTTTGAAATTTTTTAGAGCTTATTCGGTTGCAGACTCTCTGAGTGATGGCACATCAGTCCAGTGACGAGAATCATTTTTTAAATTTAGATGATTCATCAGTTCTTATTTCTGTCGTTTTGCTAAACGCTAAACATATAATCACTGCGATAGAAAACTGAAGACTTATACCCTTATACATTCTCAGAGGAATTAAAATCTCCGAACTTAGTATGCCTTACAGAACAATTGGCTTACCCTTGACGAAGCCATTACTTACGCAATTATAACGATATTTCTAAATTTTGTAGATCGAACTTTATTCATGGAGGCACTATGCTGCTCATGGGCAAAACGGCAGAAAATAAGTTTAATTTTATAAATGTAGACAAGTTAAACTATTTAATAGTCGAGTTGAGAAAGTTTTAGAATTCTCTCAATGAGATTCCAACCTAGGATCGTCGGAAAAAATCGTCTCGTTGTCGAGCCGTGTGTCCGATCAACACCACCTATACGACAAGGCCTGGAAGCAGTAAATTATGAGTCATCATAGGTGGACCGAAAAATGTAAACTGTAATTTTACTTTTAGGAGTTTACATTTATTCTTTTTGGTTTTTGATAGTAAATAATGTTAGGAATAGGGGTGTAGCGGTTTTGAATGAAAAGCGGAATATATCTCTGAAGAGTTTACTATGGATTTATTTTATGCTCAAAACTTAGTACATAATATGTGGTGATATACATGGCCTTAAAACACTTGAAGTCTTCTGACAAAAATACAGACACTTCCACCTTCAGATATTCTTCAGCTGGTTCATTTAAATAAAAAAAAAAAGTTTGTTCTGCCTTTTCCTTTCAACCATCCATCTCCAAGTTTATTCATTCTGGTATCAGCTTCATGTAGTGAAGTAAAATGTATTGCTTCATTATAATTTGTTGCTTCATCCAAACATTCAGCAATAGTCCTTTGTATTTATCTACATGCTACAATCACGATTTTATCAATAACAAGAGAGAAAAAGACTTGTTAAAAACATTTACCTACAACTAATCTGGGAATTTTCAAAGGAGCGTCTAAAATTTTTTCTGTTGGATAACTCACTCTGCTTCTATTACTAGGTGTAAAATCATTCCTTTTTATTGCAAAAATCCATTTTTTCTTCAAGTCCAAATCTCTGGGAAGTCCAAATGTAGCAACTTTAGGCCCATTGTCTTAAGTGCCTCTAGGTACACTTGGGGACACAGCACCGGTGAGGTATTATTTAAAGTTAAAAATTACAAAGTCCATAACAGAGACACCTACCCTAGAAAGGACCCCGCAATATTTAAATGGAAATTGGTTACCCGTGATATTTGGATGAAATTTAAATATGTTATTGGGGATGCCGTAAGAAACATTTTTTACCATGGGCACAACCCTGTATATATGACAGGTGAGGCGTGGTTAGCTGTCAAATATTGGAATCTGATATCCAAAAGCAGAGTAACTATGGCAGATTTTGATGAACAAAAAATCTATTTCTACTAAGTCGACCAAGTTAAGTCGAAAAATGTCAACCGTTTTAACACCTGTCAAAACCCTGCCAAACGGCAGCACTCATCTTTTCCAGTTTTCAATATTTTATGTTGTCATTTGACATTTTTAACTTATATGTAAATTCTAAATTCAAAAATTGAAAAAAAAATGACAGAACTGTCAAAACCTGTCATTTTTTTTAGTAGAAAAAAATACTCTAATTTGGTCCTTTCTCGTTTTAAGGTAGTTTATTGGTGATGAAACATTGAACAAAGTTCATGCACGTCACATTTTGACAGCTGTCAGTTTTTTTTTTTTTTCAATTTTTGAATTCAGAATTTAAATGTAAGATAAAAATGTCAAATGACAACATAAAATATTGAAAACTGGAAAAGATGAGTGCTGCCGTTTGGCAGGGTTTTGACAGGTGTTGAAACGGTTGACATTTTTCGACTTAACTTGGTCGACTTAGTGGAAATAGATTTTTTGTTCATCAAAATCTGCCATAGTCACTCTGCTTTTGGATATCAGATTCCAATATTTGACAGCTAACCACTCCTCACCTGTCATATATACAGGGTTGTGCCTATGGTAAAAAATGTTGCTTACGGCATCCCCAATAACATATTTAAATTTCATCCAAATATCACGGGTAACCAATTTCCATTTAAATATTGCGGGGTCCTTTGATTGTCCGAAAGGGCAAAAAATTATTCAAGATACCTTTAAATTTAATTTTTATGAAATTAAATTCCTCCAGCGAGTCCAGCAGGAAGTGTATAATTTATATTAGCACAGGCCTCCTCTTCAATCAACAGCACAGGATTTTTGAAAGTTGTAAATGTAAACGAACAATAAACCCCGATTTGTAAACAAATACCACGGCACAAAAGGCCTTTTCGGAAATACTGATCCGATTACCCAGATCACCAGCTATATTTCTTTCATCTTTCTTTAATGATCACGATTGAAAAAAGACAAAGAACATCAGCTGATAATCCAGTTAGGGCGGGTATTATTAAACTGCTTTGACAGTTAACTTGAAGTTAACTTTTTGAATTACATGTAATTCCAGAAGTTAACTTTAAGTTAACTCTCAAAGCAGTTTTATAATACCCGCTCTTAGGGCGGGTATTATAAAACTGCTTTGACAGTTAACTTGAAGTTAACTTTTTGAATTACATGTAATTCCAGAAGTTAACTTTAAGTTAACTCTCAAAGTAGTTTTATAATACCCGCCCTTAGTCGGATATGCGTTTGCGAAACTAATAAAGTGTCAAAGATCGATTTGATTTTGGTCGAGGTGTGATGACTCATCTTCGACAAAATCTTTTGCTTCCAGGCCTTGTCGTGTAGGTGGTGTTGGTCCGATCGTGATTTTAGAATCCCCGACCAGGATTGCTTATCGGCCTCGTTTTGGGCAATCGCTGCCATATTGGCGTGTCACCATTTTCGACGTCATAACTAAGTCGTCAGCAGTTGAAACAGTCTATCAAGGCGAGAAATAACATGCTGGCTACGTCACAACTGGTGATTTGGCTTGGGAGGGGGTGATTTGTTCCACACAGGCCAGGTCGGGGATTCTAAAATCACGATTCGACATACGACTCGACAACGAGACGATTTTTCCGACGATTCTAGGTTAGAAATCTCATTGGAATTATACCTTTCGACACGACAAGGCCGGTATCGTTGTCGAGTCGTGTGTCGAATCGTGATTTTAGAATCTCGGCCCAGGCCTCATAAGGATAGGCTATCCTGTAGTAGTAGTGTGTATTATCCTTGCAAGCAAGCAACAAGCGTCCTTGTGTTCAGTTTAACGATCGCTCGACGATTCGTCCATGACGTCATTTATCCGGTAAGTTACCTTGTTCGATGTTTCAAATGTGAACGCTTCCGCCTTCCGGGTGACACCCGGCGATCTGAAAGGGCCCATGAAAAAAAAATCATGAAATCGTAAAATATCTACCGTATCAGATTCATGAACGCGACCCCAATGAGTGGAGTGAGAGAAGAGAAAAGAAGAGAAATAAGGTTAGAACCATCCACCCTTTTGCCTTTAAGTAGCCACTTTTGCCGCGGGAAACGGTAGTGAACATTGAATTTTAAGTACCTTTTGTTTTTTTTCAGTTTATTTATAATAATTAGAAATGGATTTTGTATTTGACGGCATATTATTATCGCTAGGTTTATCTGCCGTGATAATACTTTTATTGTTTTATGCAGCTATAAACATTAACTTCATACGAAAGTAAGTCTAAATTAGCCTTTGCCTTTTTTCATTATAATTTGTTAATTTTTGATTTATTAATTTTATTATTTCAGGAATGGATTTTATGTAACTGCGAACTGTTGGTTCTGCAATGAAGACTCCAGAATTTTGTTCTCAGAAAGAAATAACTTTGTGTGCCAGTTATGCTGTCAATATAATGGCTTTAACAAGGTAAAAGTCTTTACTACTACTAGTCAACGCTACTAGGGGCCGGTTTCTCAATAGCGAGTCACCCCCGGGTTAAGCATAACTCCAGGGTAAACATAGCAACTGGACACGCTTACCTTGGGGTTGAAACCAACCCGGGGGTGACTTGCTATTGAGAAACCGGCCCTAGATACCTACATACATATCAGTTAATAATTGCTAATGAGGTTAACTTTCAAAGGGAAAGAGGAGAAAATATGGAATGTTTTTTTCTTTGCAAAGACTGAAGACCATTATCATAATTTTGTCATGTGAATTATCAATTTTGTGGTCAATGCGAGAGAGAAAATCCTATTAAAATAAACAAAATAGTTGTTGACAAACCACACAAATATGAAATCAAGTTAGAAAGAAACCGATTAAAATGCAACATAAAATGATAAAATAGGTACCTTGATGGTCTTGACCACCAAATTTCCTAGTTCTTAATTCTCTTTTCTCCCTTTCAGTAGTTGCCCAACTTTTTTCAGTTAATTAAGTTCAGTTTCATCGAGATTTTAATTTTAAATTTAATCTAATGAGACAGCATCAAATTACTAATGAAGATTCAACATTTCAATTTTTAGTTGAGTAGTAGCAAAGATAATCCTACTCCGAATCTTTGGTAGTAGCCACCATAGATATTCCAGATTCGTACAAGAAAGTATGTTCCTTTGACCTTTATCAGCCGGCCTGTATTTAGTCAGGAGGCACGGGCACGGGTCAGGTAACCACTTAAGTATAAAATCATATGGTTGCAAATTATTCGGTTTAAATTGTTGTAAATAATGTTTAAAATTATGAAAGATCTTCCAAATGTTTAATGCAAGAAATCATGTACAGGGTGTCCGAATTTGGATGGTTTTAATAGGAAACATCAATTTCTGAGCAAGATACAAAAAAATGAACCCCCCACTCCGAGGCTCAAATTTCTTGAAATTTTGATTGGTGCAAACCGCATTTTGATTTCTTCAACCGTTTAGCCGCTAGAGGGCGATTCTCGATTTTGAGCAATAATGTGAAACCATCATAACTTTATTGTTTATGAAAATTATTGATTTCCGTAAAAACTTTCTAGAAGCACTTTTTCAAGCAGAATTTAGTGACGTTCTCAGTTTTGTTCTAGTTGGTCCCAACTCCGAGATATTGACCAAAGTCTGGTTTTTTTCAATAGGACACTCTATATATTAATAGCTCATTAGAAAGCTCGGCTTTTTCTGATTTGAATGATATAAAGTTCGATAGGTTTATCTCTAATAGTTTTCGAGAAAAAAATTTATTTCGGTTATTGTCATAAGAAGCAATGTGTAAGAAAAGGACTTTATATCTGTAAGGAAACTGAGAAAGGTCTCTTTCTAACTCATTGTTTCTTATGACAAAAGCCGAAATATTTTTTTTCTCGAAAACTGTTAGAGATAAACTTATCGAAATTTGTATCATTGAAATCAGCAAAAGCAGAGCTTTCTAATGAGCTATTAATATATAGGGTGTCCCATTGAAAAAAATCGTATTTTGGTCAATATCTTGAAATCGGGGCCTAGTAGAAAAAAACTGAAAACGTCACTGATTTCTGCTTGAAAAAGTGCTTCTAGGAAGTTTTTACAGAAATCAGTTATTTTCATAAACAAAAAAGTTATGAAGATTTCACAGTATTGCTCAAAATCGAGAATCGCCCTCTAGCGGCTAAACGGTTGAAGATATCAAAATGCGGTTAGCACCAATCAAAATTTCAAGAAATTCGAGCCTCGGAGTGGGGGGTTCATTTTTTTTTTATCTCGCTCAGAAATTGACGTTTCCTATTAAAACCATCCAAATTTGGACACCCTGTACAGGGTATTTGATTATATTTGGCACTATACCTACAGCATTTATTATTTAAGATAGAAAAAAAATTTAAATACAAAACTTGACAGTTTTTTTCTATATTTTCTTTTAACGTTATCAGAAAAAACAAAATCGCATTGGAAAAGGGAGAAACGTAGACAACTTCAACTTTTTTTAATGGAACACCCTGTATATTTTGCGATAAAATGAAAGATCTTTTCCTCCTGATTCCAGATATATATATTTTATGGCATAATATACAGGGTATTCCATTAAAAAAAGCCGAAGTTGCCTACGTTTCTCCATTTTCCGATGCGATTTTGTTTTTTATGATACTGTTAAATGAAAATATAGAAAAAAACTGTCAAGTTTTGTATTTAAATTTTTTTTCTATCTTAAATAATAAATGCTGTAGGTATAGTGCCAAATATAATCAAATACCCTGTACTTAATCCAGAGCAATACAATAATCCTATACGCAAAATGAATTTAATTGATGCTCTTGGAATAAATTGATTCTCTACCCTTATCTGAGGAGTTTTTGCCAAAGTTTTTGCTTTATCCCTTGGTTCCGCCGATGAAGAAATAATTTTTTGTAGGAATCTCGAATATCTCTGGCGGATACTATACAAATTTCAATAGTCGCGGAATATTAATACAAATTGCAGAAACTATAAATCAGGTTGCCTGGTTGAAAATATGTCCTCTTGTATGTAAGAAGTATCCTATGTGTAACAAATTATTTCTCACTAATATCGTTCACTCATAGTTACATTTATTAAAAAAGCATAATTTGATGTATTTCAACGGGTGTTCAATAATTATTATGGCCGTAGTTAGCACAGGTTTTTTTAAAAGCTTTACTGGTTCCAAGAAAATACAACTGATTTTTTACTAAATTCTATACCTAAATACATAGAATGGATGATCTTTTAAGTATGTAAACCACTATTACCTTCTAAACTACCATTCCATTAAAAAATATGCAAATGATTCAATTGGTTCAGTGCCTAATAACAAGAAAAATAATATACTAAATATTTTCAAGTCTTCTGGCGAAGACATCCAATTTACGATGAAAGAATCCAACTTGAGTCGGATTTCAGACACCAGTTGAGGAGGAAGAAGACTTGAAAATGTCAAATGCGATTTTCGTGTGTTTCTCAACACTCAGTGGAGAACCAACGGATGAATACCCAGAATAACAATAACCAAACATACAGCACCATCCATGAAACCATTTCATCTACCATATTATATAGGTATATATATACATTTATATTTTTTTGGTTAATTTAAGGTTGTGCAATACAAGTTAATGTATATATTGTATCTATACAGGGTTTTCGGCACATGAGTAGACATACGTAAATCTGAGATAGGTGGGGCCGTCTGCTATGCCGTCCATCCAGATATTTTGACCTGGTCCCTAAGAATTTTTTTTTCAGATTTTTTTTATTTTTTTTCCCAAAATTTTCAATTTGCAGATTTTAATTTGAAATAACTTTATGAAAAATCATGAAACTGACAACATTTTTATTTTATTTCAATCCAATAAAACGACACAGCGATTTAAAATTAGTTATCGGGGGGTTTGTTGAGGCGAGAAATACAAATTCATTCACTGTTTTGATATCACCAGTAGGAGGCGCCACCTACGGCACATCGAACTTTGTTAAATTATCAAAACTTTTCTCTTGTTTTCAGTTTGCTGTTGGTATTCATAGAATAGAGAGCAGTTGTAGTCTGCAGTCACTGATGCAATGGTCAATCAGTGAGAGTTCCAAATTCCCATAATTATAGTTTTATAAAATTATGATCAATAAGAGATGAACTATTTCTCAGCCAGGCTAAACATTTTTTGTAACAATTACCTTCCAAGGGCGACCTGAGCGTAACAATTATTGAACACCTTGACAATAAAAACCTGAAACTAACTTAAACTATAAGCGTTTTACAAAAGTAAAACAAAATTAACAATCGCGAAACAGTAGAACAATCAGAATCTGTTAGTTTGAAGGGTCTTAGAAAAATACTCTCATTCAATCTTTTTTTGAAATTAATTCTTCATGTTTTTTTAAATGATTATCTTTTATTCAGTTTGACTTACTCCTGGTCTGGAGGCGCGTCTAGAGGCTAATTCTTGAATATTCTCGCATACGAAATTTGAAATCATAACAAATTTCGTATGCAATATTTTCCAAGGATTTCATCCCCATGGTGCCATGCAAATGGAATGGAGATCAGTACTTATATATCGTAGGATCGTAGGTATATATCCATATATATTTTGGTCACCTCATAGTAGCTCCAATACTTATATATATTTTCGCTTTCTGTGCCTAGGTACCCAGCTACTTGTTCTATTGCTGTAACCTCTATCTAGTTTTTGTTATGCTACGGCCTACTTTTATTTTTGTTTGTTTGGTGTCATTTAGTTTTATTTTAGTTTAATATACTATATTGTAGGTTCATCTAAATTTGTTTGTAAAACTTCTAATATTTTGGCAATTTTCCATAATGAATAATGAATCCTTTTTACAAAAGTTTTTGATTTCCTGTCATAATCCTTAATAGATCCTCTTTTTGTCTAGAGTAGGAGGTATCTCAGTTTTGTCCTCTTTACAAGACTCTATAACCTTGATAGGTTTTCCTGTGTTTAGCTTCTTGCTTCTGGTTTTGTTGCACCCAATCTTTTGTGGCACTACTTACTCACCTTGCCATTGCCTCACAGTCTCATAGAATGTGTTCTGCTCTCCCTTCCTTCTTCTTGCAGAACCTACAAAGTCTTGCTTCGTCATTCCTGAGGGGTCTCGTGTACCTTTATCTTCGACAATGTCCTGTTAGAAGACCCACTTTCATTCGGGCATTCACTGTTCTCGAAAATGTGGCTTGGGGTGGAATGGTCGGTAGCATGCCCAGAATTGCATCTTCCTCAATTTCCTTTATCATTGTCTTATTTCTATCTCTCTGGCCTCTTATTAGTATTTCTTGTCCCTGTAATAGCCTGTATGCAACTGGTCAGGCCACATGTAAATTGTATATTTTGTACTTCTAGCCAAGTACTAAATAAATAGGTATATATATTTATTCCATAGATAACTTTATTGTGAGTTTTCAAATGTATAATTTATTGATCGAATTTCTACATTCTGCAGGCAGTTGCTGTTTATTTACTATTTCAGATATTTTTTTTTCAATTCATCACTATTTGGGCTAAACCATTTTTTTGAATCTGTCTCTAAGTATGTCCTATGTATCCAAAGTTACCCATGGTTTTGAACAAATGATTAATTTTCAAATAAAAGGCTCCATTAGATGAGCTTGTATGCATGTTTATTTGATCTGTAAAATGTTATTATTCAATATTCGGATCTATTCAGTTTAGAATTATTCATTTTTGTGTACATTTTTGTTCAAGAGATTTTTAGATTATGTCTTTTGGAAAGAGAATATTCAGAAATATATGATCATAATCTGTGACAGAAACTGTCTATTATAAGAGAGGTTGATTTAGCCAATACATGGAAATCCATAATAAGTTTGAAAAAAAAAACAACAAAAAAGGTTTTTAAATTTCCACATTTTTAATTTTTTTAAAGCTGTTACATGTTTCTAAAACCTTTTTTGAGCTGAATATATGATTCATATTTCCTATGGTGCTAAGAAAAAAATAATCATAATTAGTCATAATTTGCCCTGAATTGTTCGTTTTACATTTTATGCTCAATATTAATTAAGTAATTACATAAATAAAGTACGAGCATACCTAAATACATTTTGGAGTTTTTTCAGAACATATTTTCCCGAGTATTTTCTTATACTTTCCACTGAAAATGGTTTTTAAATTTCTGCATTGGCCCTTTCTTCGAGCTAACTTTCTTGCACTACAAGTAGCCGGAACACAATCATTTGAACAAGATCCTTGATTAGTCAACATGTAAAATAAAATAATATTCCACGCATATATACTTACCCTATGGATGGTACAAAATTGCATTTGCGATTCTTTTTAATCATTGTTTTCCCAGAATTTACAATTTTTCTTTTATGTTTTTATTTTATTGTTTTTGTACAAATGTGGATGGTTTTAGATGTAACAGCTTAACAATACAAGAGCCGCACCCAGGCTCCCACCCACAGAGTTGTCAACTTGTATGTGAGATTTCACTTTTAATGTATTTTAATGTTGAGATTTTGAGATCATATCATATTGTAGTACATACCACCCCTATATTACAACATAATGAATCTTAACTAAAGAGTTTTATTATTATAGGATGGTGGCTACAACAAAGAAATCAAAGCCCAATACGAATTCTCGAAGTTTATGACAGATGAGACTAATGCAACATCGACCGCCCATATTTCATCTAATGGCCTATGTAGTACTTGCAATAGAAATCAAGAATTAAAAGTTATCCAACTTTCCAAATTCGAGCCCATGAATTATAAAAATTATTATACAGAAATTCAACATTTTGAGAAACAACTTGAAAAGTCTTACGGCCTGTGTGAAACATGCTCAGAAACGGCTGCAAAGACTATCAGAGAGCAGAGTGAATGGATATCTGGATATAAACTACAGAACCCAAAAAACTCTAAAATGGCAATTTGCCAGGGTGGCAAAAAATTTAGTTTAGTTATCACTGATATGTTTCTATCTGTGTTGTCATTTTTAAATGTTTTAGTTTTGTGTAATTTAGATGTTTTTTTACCAAATACAAGTACACTGCCAGGTAGTGTGATATTGTCCAATTTATATTCGTCAATTAACAATATTGCTAGTGAATTAGGAGTTAATATTTTACCTGAAACTAAACATGTTCAATTTTTAAATGTTTTAGTTTTGAGTTCATTAGGCCTTATAATAGAATTATTATTCTCAACAATATTTGCATCAAATAATTTTTCAACAATATTTGCACAAAATAATTTTTTAACAAAATTTGATCAACTTTATGCTTGGTTTATGTTAACTGTTATATCTTCAATTGACCCTAAAAAGAATTTTATTCCATATTTAGAATATCTAGAAATTGTTTTTTCTTTATATTTGACCTATGCCTATGCTGCTACTTGTATAAAACGTGATCCCGTAAAAATAAATTATGCAAAATCATTAAATGGTACTAATAATACGTTTTTTAAATCATCAGATAGTGCTAATGATACTTCTTTTGTGTCCGCTCAGAATCATTTCGATATAAACCATTCAGGCAGTAAATCAGTAAACAGTACTAATAATACGTTTTTTGGATCATCAAATGTTGCTACTAATTGGTCTTTTGCATCCGCTCAGAATCATTCTGATATAGACCAGACGAGCAGCGTATCAGTAAGCACAAATTCTGCCATTTCTCCAATCAGTTATATGTCAGTAATAGATGATTCAGTTTCAAATCAATTACAGCAACAAAGCCCTAACCGAAACATGAGTTCGGCTTCTAGAATATCAACAAATAATTCGAGCCATATGGAATTTAATGCAAGTTATAATAATATCTGTGGCACAGCAACTGACGAAAGTGCACTAAACACATCTTTTGATAAACTAAAAATTCAAAGTCCTTCAAAGGCCTATATTAGACCCTTAAATAAAAACAGACCCCTAAATCCTTTTAAAGAACCTCAGTTTCCTATATTATTTAATGAAAATTTTATTTCTGAAGTTTCCTTCAACTCAGATAGTCATGCTGTTCTAAATCAAAATCCTGGAGCTGCGTCTTTCAGAGGCAAACCAATAATATTTTCAACAAATGCTATTTTTCGAGGATCAGCAGGGCGTTTGGTTAGTAATGATAATACTTTCGAAGGGCCTTTTGGTCTATATAACATGTCAAATTACACTCATACATCTTCTGCTCCTCTAAGACGGGACAGAAAAATACATAATTCTTCATATCGTCGTCATCTCGATCTCTGAGCAACTTCAGCAGTTGTAATTTTTTGGAGTAGCTCAGGTATCTTGAAAGGACCCATAAATCACTGCCAAGCTCAAGGGCAAATTATCCTGGAAGAAATTACTAGTTAATTTCTTTTCAAACCGTTATCTACTTTTAAAAATATTTTTTTTTTATTTTGGTAGGATAGAAAATGAACGACCTACCTCATGTTTTACATTACATAGGTTTTTTCAGAAAATTTACAATTGTATTTCATAGTTGACATTGACAATAAATAAAACTTGAGAACTTGACAAAGGAATGGCTTGCACCAAATCAAATTTAAATATTAGGTTTAGTATTGAATTATTATTTAGGTTTATTTTTTGTATATCTACCTATTATATAAGAATATTGAATTTTGTTGTCCATTGCTCAGGCATGTAAACTCAGTTAAATGTTAGGTTGAGTATTAGGGCAAGAACTATTTAAGTTTTATTTTTGTTTATCTATGAGAATATTAAGTTTTGTTTTTGGATGTCTATTGTTCAGACTCTCAGACATGTGAACTTAGTTGGTCCACTTCTTTATTAACTTCAAAGCAGGGGTCTATGTCAAGCCTCATATTGACGGAAAGCTGAAATAGGGGGCCCCAGCTTCATCATGTTAAAATCAGGTTTCACCATAACACTCGATCACCTTCTTCATTTTGTAATACTAATAGGTGACGATTACCTGCGCTCACAGGGTTCAAGTAGAGAGAGTGGATTTGTTTTTTTTTGTGCTTGAAAATGGCTGTATGTATAATTTAAGTTTTGTTCCTGTTCTTAGAATCTATTTTTACTATTGTGTTAGAATTATATTTTTGTTTAAAATGTTCCTTTTAATTTAATAAATTTTTCTTAATTTACCTTAATGTTGTTTTGGTTTTTTAAAAAAAATTGGGTTAAATTGGATATTTTATAGTTTCAAAAACGTTTTCTGCCCCCAACAGCTACCAAATGTGCTGCTGGCAACGGCACCAACATTGTGGTTTGATGTAAGTATTGTCACAATAGGGCTAAAGGTCCGCCAGGCTGTCAAGAATCGATGGCGTAAATACTAGAATGTAGCGAATTATTCTACTTTAATCTGGAAAATTAGATTATCGTGTGTGTTCTAGATTTTACAGGAATAGATTTAGGGATATATATATAAGGACGGGTTTTAGCTTGCAAGTTAGTTTTCAGTTCGAGTGTGATACGATTTAAATAGTGATTGTAAAGAGTTTAATTGTTAGTGTCGGAGTGTTTTGTTAAGTGGAATAAATTATTGCTGTGTTAATTGGACTTTGATTTTTGGAATAAGCGAAACGAACAACGAACCCAAGATTTTTGTCAGCAGGCAACCCAAAGCCGCGACAGTATGATAACCCATATCAAGTGAAGAACCAAACAAGACACAAATAAGTTTTCATATATTCTAATAACATCGTAGGAAAAGAATAAGGATATAATATAATATTAAAGTAACCTATATAAGATTTATCTAGGGGACCATGCCCAGTTTAACGCAAGCGCTACCTCAAAATCGGACAGAGTAAAAGAGTTCTTGAAAATCTTCAATTTGAAACGGATAAGGAACGGAGTCTCAAACATCCTAGAAGTGATCAATTAGAAGATGCTATCAAACCAATTTTTGATGCCAAAGAAAACCGGAAATAGATCGCCAATAGACTGGAGAAAAGAAAAATTCGGTGAGCAAAGAAAGAAAAACCAGGAACAAGAAGATTGATGGGATACCATGACTGTTGATCCGGAACCTGAATATTATTGTTCAAACCGACGTTCTACAGATTCTTACGATGCGATGATTACTATGACAGTCCATCTAGCCTTAGCCAAGGAGGCTGGCACTTAACAGGGAACAGGTTGGTGGCCATCCTTCCACCTTTAGTCATGTCAATACATGGGAAGAAGTACCATGGAGGTGTGAGGGTACACGTGGATGGAGAGGAAGTCATTTAACAGGCATAGAGATGTTAGGCATGTGGATGAACGGGATGATTACGAGTATCATGAAGAACATAGATCCAGACTCTAGAGGATAGTGCTTCCAAAGACATGGTTTTGAGGACTGTGAAAACCATCTTACCTACCTTTTCCTAAAGAACAATAATTACTTTACTGACAAAATTGAAAAACATCGCCCAAGTAACATGGTGCGAACCTATGAGTATGCTGAAGAATAAATAATCTCACTCCAATTCAACAATGCAATGCGAGCTAACAATGCAACATTCTGTTTTTTGTAATTTGTAATTAAAAGATGTGAGCGCCATAGGTATGTATAATAAATTTCCATGGGGTACTATGTTAGGTCCCAATCACCTATTGGTTTTGTATACACATAATTGATATTATCAAAGTTGAAAATAAATGTAGGTATTCAATTATTTGCGGATGACACTTTATTGTTGCATGAAAGTGTTGATATACGTAGATGATATTGGTAAATAGGTACAGATATGTTGAATTATGAGTTTTCAGAATTCCTAATGGTTGTGCAATAATAATAGTCTGAGTATCAATGTAAGACTCTGTCATATAGTGTAAATTATACTCATTTGATATAACGTCATTCAGAAATAAACAGAACATTGCTTTGATATATTAAAAAGTAAAACATATATATACAGATTATTAATAATCATCATCTTTACTTATCTAAATACTGTGTAACAAAATAAAACAGAAACAAATAACGTCAATCAAAAACAGATTGAGAGATACACGAATAGGGTTTTAAAGTTGACTCCTAATGTAAGGAAAACGTATACCTACAATGGAACTTCAAGACACCTAAAAAGCTACATAGCTCTATGATCATTCAAGCTACATGTTTCGAGATCAAGCAATAATTGCTTCGTCGTGAATAATACAATATTAGTAAGTAAGTAAGTTTATTAATCAAAAAATATTACACTTGTTAATTAAGCAATGTATAGGAAATATGACGCTTAAGTTTTCTTGAAACTTGTACGCGCCTTAACTGTTAGTACATTTTTCTATATATTATTGTATATTTGCTTACATATCTAAATTTATTCTAGTCTTAATAAACTAATTATAATTGGGTACCTAAGTATAAGTAAAATTAGGATTAAGGTACCTACCTATATAGTATGATATAGTACCTTTAAAAATAGCTATATAATAAGGAATTGACTAATGCTTTCAAGCGAATGAGTGAATAAACCCAGCTAGAGACAAGAACAGATAAAAAAGGAAAGAAAAAAAGGAGATCAATATTGAAAATCAAGCTACTGTGGTGTTCGTCATTTATCAGTAGGCATGATTGATAATTTGATGTACGTGACACCTATTGGTACGCAGCCAACAAGTCAAAGATTCCTTAAGCGTGTTTGTATTGCTTTTATTCTTTATGTTGCTTGGGAGTGAGTTGTATAGTCTTCTCTTTCTTATATAAGATCAACTACTGATTTCTAGTAAACCAATTACTGACGAATGAATGAACAGAAGGCTGCGATTTCGGCGGTTGGCCGGTGTGACGTCACAAGTTCCCGCATAATTCTTCATAAGGATCAGTTTCTCAATAGCGATTAGCGAGTCATCTCCGGGTTAGTTTTAACTCCAGGGTAAACGTGTCCAGTTGCAATGTTTACCCCGGAGTTATGCTCAACCCTGAGGTGACTTGCTTTTGAGAAACCTGCCCTAAGGGATTTGTTAACAATCGAAACCAGGTAGAAACCAGTACGCTAACAATCGAAACCAGTCGAATCAACTGTAAGAGAATTGTCAGAAATAGTCATTGAAGCTGCCACAAAAATTGTAATCTCCTCCTGATAATATAAAAGAATACTGGAAAACAGTTCCACTTGTGTATCATTTCACAGTCAAAACATTGGTCCTTCGTCGCTGGATGTGGATTGGTAAAAGTATCTCAGAATAAAGAAGAAATTGAGGAAATAATTGACAAAGTAAAATAATTTTGATATTCCATTTTAGTCATTGGAGGAGTTGGTCGTGGCGATTGGTTCAAAAACGATAGCATCGGAAAGGCAGTGAGTAAGAAAATATAGAAATTATTCCTGTCACGTTTCCACATTTGGTTGCTTGCGTTTTTCTGGGTAAGTCGGTTCAATTACGTAAATTTGTAAATTTATCAACAAATTCAATCTGTGTCAATCAGAATGGCTGGAGTCGTGATTGCAAAATTAAAGTCCCAAAAGAAAAGTATTAAGGGTAAGGTTACGCGTTTGGAAAATTATTTCAAAGGGATTGATAAAGATAATTTGAATGATAATATTGTTAATGAAGTTCAGGCGCGTTTAGAGCGATTGCAACCCATTTATGACGAGTTTGATGCATTGCATGTTCAAATTGATCAAACTATTATTGAACAACGAATGACAGCAGGTATAGGTGATGAATTAGATGATGCCGAATCTCAGGTTTCTGAAGCTGAGAGGAGTGAATTTGAAGATAAATATTTTAAATTAATTTCTGAAATGAGTGCCTTGATAAAGCAATATAATCATTCTGATGATAACACTTCAGTTAATCAGGGTGCTCCTCAAGGCCCTTTGAGTTCTTTCGTGGGTTCAATGCATAATTTAGCGTTAACGCCAAATCAAAATGTACTATCTATTCAATCACTAGTGAAATTACCACCCATTAATTTGCCAAATTTTGATGGCCAGTATTGTAATTGGTTGGAATTTAAAGATTCTTTTAATGCATTAGTAAATGCTAATACAGCTTTAAATAATGTACAAAAGTTTTATTATCTCAGATCTACTTTAGGTAAGGAGGTTCTGAACATTATTAAATCGCTAGAAGTAACAGAAAATAATTATGACATTGCATGGCAGTTGTTAAATGAGCGATATGAAAATAAAGGTTTGATTATTCATAATCATATACGTGCAATTTTTGAACACCCAAACATAGAAAAAGAATCTTACACAGAATTGAGAAAATTGTATGATGCGATAACCAAACATTTAAGGGCATTAAAATCCCTTGGCGAGGATACCGATTCTTGGGATAGGTTGATAATTTATATTTTAGCCAATAAGTTAGATAATGCTACACGTCGTGATTGGGAAGCTTTTAAATGTTTGGGTGATTTACCATCAATGCAGGATTTGAATACATTTCTAAAAAATAAATGTGAGGTTCTTGAAAAGTTGGAGGCATCAAAATATGCTCTAGAATCGGGTAAGAATAATAACAAACCAGCAATAAGTAGAAAATTTAATAGGGAATGCAGTAGTAATCATGCTGCAATAGATGAGAAATTTAAAAATAATACTCGCGATAATGCCTTCAAATGTTATTATTGTAATCAAAGCAATCATACAATTTTCAAATGTAATTCTTTTCTGAATCTAGCTGTTGCTGAACGAATTAATGCAGTAAAAAGACTCAAATTATGTTTAAATTGTTTTAATGATTCGCATTTTTCTTGGAAGTGTCCTAGATCAAAATGTTCGAAGTGTCAAAAATCACATAATTTACTTTTACATTTAGATTCATTTAATTCAGAACAAAATTCAAAAAGAAATATTGGTCCGAACAGTCTAACCCAAAAATTGAATGGGGCTAAGACCACTGCCAGTGATTTGAATTCACTTGTGCAACATGAAGGCGGTGGTGCTCGGGAAGCTGCTGCCTCCAATTGCCTAATGAACTCCGAGGCCTCCAAATACGGGCAGATCGATGTTTCCACTGGTAACTATACTGCGCCTTGTTTAGGATTATCAGCATTGTCAAGTAGTTGTTCTCAATCTCAAGTATTACTTTCTACTGCATTGATTAAGATCAGTCACGGAACCAAGACTATTACAGCACGAGCGTTACTGGACAGTGGTTCACAAAGTAACTTTGTATCTCAAAAGGTTTGTAATAAATT